ATCTCAGGTCAGCCCAGAAAAGCCTTCTGAAATGTTGTGGGGAAAATATAGTATGAGGCAATAGTTAGCACGTTTTAATTGTGTTATGTTCAAAGTGTTTGTATGTTGTTAGAATGCTATTTTAAAGACATATGATCAGAAGATATGAAGGTCAATGGATACAGACTTTTGAGGAGATCCTGAAAAATTTAGCTTTTCTGGATTTTCGAAGAAGTTGCTACTGATTTTCTTTTGTCTAATTTCATCTCAGCTTTTCTTTCCAAAGGGAGATGCATAGCCACAGCCCTACTCTTTAAAAAAAAAAATATATATTTATTTTTTAGGTGTAGATGGACACAACACAAAGCTTTATTTTTATGTGGTGCTGAGGATCGAACCCAGGTCCCCTGCGTGCTAGGCGAGTGCTCTGCCGCTGAGCCACAGTCCCAGCCCCACAGCCCTACTCTTAAGCTCAGCAGTTATGGTTAGTAGCACATGTTAATGCACAAAAGGAAGGAATGAGGATGGCAAGGGGAAGCCCTGGTGGGCTCAGGTTTTGGTTCAGAAATAGGAGGGGAATATACTGTGTAGTTAAAAAAAAAAAACTAGAAGAAAAGAGTTTGAAAGTTTTTAATTACAAAGTAATGATACATGCTTGAGGACATAGATGTGCTTACCCTGATTGGAACATTACACATGTACACATGTATGTAATCATCACCTGGTGCCCCATAAGCTTATGYAAACATTTATCTATGAATAAAAAATAAAATAAAACGTAATTCCAAAGTAAGGTTACTAGAAAGGGAGGATATTTAATCCAGAGACCCAAACAAGAATAAGAAGTCAGAGGGAAGTGGAAGAACGTTCAAAAGGGAACATCTCTGAAAAAAGGAATGTCCTGAATAACTAAATGCAAGAAAGGAAAGGAATAGACTTTAAGAAGAACGTAAGAAAGGCTGTGAAAATGGAAATAACTAATTCGAATCAACCCCTTAACCAACCACTAATGGGGCTCYGACCCTGGGGCATCTGTCAAATGCAGAATGTTCAAGATGGACAGAGGGAGGAAAGGAAAATGACCTACCAACTGCATCCATAGGAATTACTATCAGGCAGCTGCCATTCAGGGGAAAAAAATCTCTGTTTCCCCAGATTTCAASGAACACCACAYTGCCCTTTCCTCTCTGCCCTCCTCCCCTGAAGCAAACATGAGGATCATTTGCAGACTTGCTCCTGACCTGGCTTGGCTTGCATCATCCAATCTACCCATTGCTTTGTGGTCAGCAGCTCCACTTTGTTGGCTTTCAGTTGCCAGGAACTGGGCACTTTGGCAAACACCACACAGCAGAATCGCTCCACCTTCACCGCACAGACATAACCACGAAGGACCCCCTTATCATGAACTTCAAGGAATCTGATGGAACATGGAGTTGTATGCCTCTGTGTTCAGAAATGACGGACAGGTAACTTCCTAATGCCGTGTTCAACAGAATTCTTGAACTTGGAAAGATTTATTTTCTCCTTTTCACATCCAATGACTYGATGGGTCTCATCATGTACACCCAGAAATACCTAGCCTCCTTCAGCGTTGGCCAATGCAGAGACACAGTTGGCGAGCCTCTCTTTAACACACTGTGACAGAGCTGCTGGGAACATTTGAAATTCAACGTGCATGGACTCCGTCAAGTTGAGTTTCTCCAGGTACTGCAGCTGCACTCTATCAAATAAAGCAGCAGCCGAGTCCTCTGTGTCGTCTTCACGGTGTGCACCAGCCTGAGCTTCCTGTGGACTCARCAAACTGGAATCAGTTTTCTCTTTCAGGAATACCAGTGCTTTATGAGAATCCATGACATTGTTAGATGATATATATCTGTGGTACAAATTAGAGCACAAGGTGGCAAGTGGCACACCTGAGACTTCTGTGTCCCATGACTTCACAAATATTAAAGAAGAGCTTTCCCTGTTGCATCTCATCTAAATAGCCTTCAAAAACGGGAGGTCGATCCCACCCAACTTCATGAATCTCACGATTGTAGTCTTCATCCTTAATCTTGGCCTTGATCACTCCCCCTCCAGAGTTCAGCAGAGCACATACTGCTTGCAAGATGTTTTCATTCTGTTTCTCCCGCGGTAGAGGAGGGTTCGTATCCGTTCTTTGCTGAGTCCCTAGGATGACTTCTCCTGCMTCTATAACAAACTCAGCAAAGTTCGTTTCCAAATCAATCTTGAGACTCATCTTCTCAGCCCTTGAATGACAACCCTGAAAGGTTCTTCTAAAAGAAAGAACAAACGGATCAGGGCAAAGAAAGAAAAAGCAGGAAAATCAAGGGGTTAAGTCTACCCTTCTGCAGTTGGTCACTTCACTGATTTTCATTTAGCTTKAGGCCAAATTCACCTATAAATGGAGCGGGCAGGACAGATGGAGGAGCCGAGTCTGCTGGATGCCATGGCCAGCACAGGAACGCTGTGATCTGAGCAATGAGTTTTGCCAACTTCTCTGACTGCCAAGGGCTCTCAGGTCACCTGTGAAAAATAGAAAGGTTTACAACAATGCTCGTGGCCTGGAGCTGGARTGCAACTAGGAAGCTCTCCTGGTCAGAAGGATCTCTGGGGCGAGAGCCTACAGAGTGGGAGAAAATCTTGGCCAGTAACTCCTCCCACAGGGGATTAATCTCCAGAATAAGTAAAGAAACCAGAAAACTTAACAACCCAATCAATACCTATGTACTAAACAAACTTCTCAAAAGAAGAAATACAAATGCCCAACAAATATATGAAAAAGTGTTTAACATCTCTAGCATTCAAGGAAATGCARATCAAAACTACACGAAGATATCACCTCTGGCAATTACTAGTCTGAATGGCAATTATCAAAATACCAACAATAATAAACGCTGGCAAAAATGTACAAGGGTATACTTGTACATTGTTAGTGGGACTGCAAACTAGTACAACCACTCTGGAAAGAAGTATGGAGATTTCTCAAAAAACTAGAAGTTTGGGCTGGAGTTGTAGCTCAGTGGTAGAGAGCTTGCTTAGCAAGTTTGATGCACTGGGTTTGATTGTCAGCACTACATATAAATAAATAAAATAAAGGTCCATTGACAACTAGAAAAATATAACATAAAAATAAAATTAAAAAAAAATATAAACCTAGTTATGGAACCACCATATGATCCAGCCACCCCACTCCTTGGTATTTTTCCAAAAGAACTAAAATCAGCATACTCTTGCAATACAGCCACCTCAATGTTTACAGCCASACCATTCAAGATAGCTAAACTATGGAATCGACTCAGATGCACATCAGTAAATGAATGGATTCAGAGACTGTGGTTGATAGACACAGTGGAGTTCTAAGCCATGAAGTTACCAGGCACTTTCTGGTAAGTGAATGGAAATGGACAACATCAGGCTAAGCAAAATAAACTAGACCCAGAAAGTCAAAGATCAAATGTTTTCTCCCCTAGGTGGAAGCTAGAATAAAATAAAGGAAAGAAGGAGGGAAGGATAGGATAACCTAAAGACACATGRTTGAGGAGAAGAAGAAATCAAGAGGCAGAGTGGAGGGACAGAAAAAGGGGAGGAAATGCAGAA